ACCGCTCGGTTGTTGTTATGAGTTGCCGGTGGTACCGCAGCGCTGCGAGAGCCCGGGGCTGTGCTCCCGGCGGGCGCCGTGCAAACAGCCTGCAAAGCCGTCCGTGCTCAGACAGCTTCTGTGGGACCTCAGGAGAGCGCCCGGAAACCCACTGCACGGCCATCTGATAGAGATGCGGAGCAAAGCCCGGGAAGGGGAACGATTGCAGTGAAAATCTTGAACATGGAGGGCCTTCTGTGTCCTCTGAGGGGGAAGGGCGACCTCTCCGGCTCTGCACCTCTGCAGGGGCAGGATCGGGCGATGTAGCTCTTCCCCATCCCAGATGGTTTGGAGCACTACTGCTGTCTGCTAAGCCGAGTTTACTTTGACAACTGCTGTTATGTGTAATTAGGATATTACATAGTAAACTCAGGAAATCATCTCTAAATGCCTCCACGGACCTGAGGGATGTTGAAAATTGCAGATTTGTTGTAACATGAGGGTTAATGGATTCTGGTTGCTGGTTTCGTATTTAATCTTTACTTTGACTATCTGATTGATGTCAGTGCATTAGATAGGAGCTGGTTTCTGAGGGACGCTCTGAGGAAAGCTGTGCGAGGCAGCCCTCGGGGGCAGGGGTCTGCGCAGAGCCCCAGTCCAAGGTGGGGGGGGTAGAGGGGAGGTTTCTGAAGGCACCACTGGCATAACTTGAACTGGAAGAAACGAGAAACGAGTGTCGAACTGCAGATCATGCTTAGGAAACTTCCCTGGACGCAGTATTTACACAAAATATTTAAACATGCAGCAAGGGCTGTGCGAGGCTGGGGAGGGCGGCTGCCCCGCAGGAGGGAGGCAAATGCTTTGTTCTGGTTTGGAAAGGTGGAATCACGTATTGAGAGCAGCCCTGGACTGTGCCTCTCATCAAAGACGCTGTGAAATTAATAACACATGCAAATATATGCAAATTATGCTGCTTTTAAATATAGAGGTTTTAAACATGCTAATTAGATGCATATTAATTTTGTAAACAGACACATTGTCTGATCCGTAGCAACGGATTTTCCATTCTTTTGATATAGGGAAGTGTTTGTGAGAGCTTTGCTGGTGGAGGGTTCAGAGACAGGAGCTGAAAATGGTGCGGGACTCGGCAGCTTTGTGTCCAGGACACAGCGGAGAGACTGCGCTACCCCTGGAGAAGGTGGGTGGGAAGCGACCTAACAGGAGTACGACTGGTGGGGAACGATACAGAGCAGAAATATCGGATGTCCCATTACCCTTCGTTATACCAGGGAGGTGCCAATGAAATGAAAAGGCAATGAAGCTTCTAAAATCACAAAAGAAAGCACATTTTAAAATTCTTTTGTACTGGAAGTCTACTAAATCTGTGGAACTGCCTGCCCTGATACAGCAAAAGAGGCTCACAGGTTTGTGTTAATAAAGCAAACAAAGACAAGCACATTTGGTGTGGCAAAGCAGTACAAAGGATATAACACAGGCTGGAGGTAGCGAAGAAGGAAACAAATTTCCCCTGTGGATGGCTCATCTTTAATTTTCAGCACAGGGTTTGCATCACCTCTACAACCACCCTGAGATGCAGGTGTGAAAGAGGACAGGGCACGGGAGTCTGACAGCCGTGAGCGGCCCCACGCCAAGAGACCCGCCTGCCTTCGGGTAATGGACCAAAAGTCGTTTCATTAACGACACGGGTTTAATGCTGCACCTCCCCTGGGGGGTTGGATCCCTGCGACACACCGGGCAGCAAAACAGATCTGAGCGTGGGGAGGGCGTCTTGGCATGGCAGCAGATGTGGCATGATGGCAGTCGGGTGGGGTGGCACTGGCGTCCCCTTACCTGGCGATGACAAAGAGCACGCAGCTGACGCCCAGGTAGGCAAGGAGGATGTACATCCAGATGTCAGGAGACAGGGGGTTGAGGAAGGAGAACACGCTGGGGTTGGTCCCGTTGGGCTTGCGGTACAAGATGCTGACCCCCAGGGTCATAAAGGGCTTGGAGAAGTCTATCGCTTTCTCCCGAACGTGGGTGATGGTGAGAGGAGCAACGGCCAGATCAGCTTTCTGTGAGCAACACGGAGGGAGAAAGAAGGCGTTAGAAACAGAGGTGTTTCCACCCCCTTAGAAACACCCACAGCAGTCACACTGCAGTATTGCACCCCCAAAGCACAGCCCTGGGGCTCCTCACTCCCTGGGGATGGGGCACGGCTGCCCTGAGCCTCCGCCAGCGCCGGGCTGGACCTGCTGTCCGTGTCCCCGGGTCGGTGGGGCGCTCTGCGCCCGGCCCTGCCTGCGCTCCACATCCCCTTCCCTTCCGCCCCTCCACCTCGCCGTGCAGCGAAGGCAAAGCCGCCGTCAGAGCCGCACTGCGCCGCACGCGAGGGGGTCTGCGCAGCTTTCTGTGAGCTCTGCTCCACCGCTGCCGGGTGAGGGACCGGGGACGGGTCTGGGGACATCAGACACAGCAACCACCTCAGGCAGACCGGCGGAACGTGGAGCTGACATAGAATCAGAGAATTGCTGAGGTTGGAAGGCACCTTTGAGAACATCAAGTCCAACCATTAACCCACCCTGACAAAACCACTTCTAAACCATGTCCCCATAACACAGCCCAGTTATTACAAAGACTTTTCGTCACCTGAACGAAACCGTGACACGGATGGAGGGTCTGTAAACACGCTGGGTGAGACTCTGGAGGTGGTAGTGTGAATATATTTACCATTTTTAAGAGAGTTGTTCCTGATCTAAATCAGTGGGCTGGAGAGCGAAACAGGCTGTTGTTCCCTCGTTATACTCTAGGACTTTCATTGTATAGATTTTCGGTTGGTGTCAGCTAGCGAAACACAGCACAGGCAACAGAGAGGTCTTACAATCTCTGTGGCTTTTGCCTACGTGCAATGAGCCCGTTTTGATCGGCTCTTCTACAATGGTCAGAACAATTATGTCTTAAATTGGTATAAAACATCTGCCGCCCTCGCTGTACTCGCTTCTTGCCGCAGAACCCTCTACATCAGAGAGTCTGCTGTGTGCGAATCCCGCCGTTGGCAGAGATGATTTGTTGTTGTTGGCCTTCCTCCCGATGCTGCTGCGAGAGGAGGCCGTCGCAGAGGGAGCCCACTCGGGAATGAAGTTGCAGGAAGCAATATCGTAGCAGCGTGAGGTAAAAGGTTCAATTTCTTTCCCCTCAGTCGACTTCACGGTCATACTGCGCAGGCTGGTTCTGAGGAAGCTGCGGCGTAGGGCAGGAGCGCTGCAGGACTCTCCAAGGGTGCGCGGCCGGTGGGAGTGAGCGAAACCATCACGGGGTTCCCGTCAGGTCCGTGCCGTGCGTACGGCTGCAAACCCCACCGGGGAATCGCTTCTGCTAATTAATGGTGGACTTCACAGCTCGTCATGCTGGAACTGTCTGAGCTGCACGAGGAATTTCAGATGAGCATATTCTTCATCCCGACTTCTTGTATGAATTGTGTTTCTTTCTATTCTTTCTGTTATTTAATCATTTCTGGGCTGATTCATTGGGCAACCACATACAACCTCTCTCTGTTGCTCAGGAGACGAGTTCATTTCCCCTCGCTAAACATTCATTCGGGTTCCCCAAACCCCCTTCATTAACACCTGCAAGGCCACCCCAGTGCCACCTGCCTCGCCCGGGGCGTGCAGTCCCCCCTTCGGTGTCACTGCCTTCAGGGGAAATGCAGACACATAAACTGCGTTTCTGAAGTTGAGCAGTACCCCCCGTGCCAGGCGCAGAGCATACCTGGGCAAGATTTATTTAACATCTGGGTCTGAAAATTAAAATTCTAAATTAACCATGAGCGGTAATTACCCAGAGATATAGTGGATTTGTCATTACTTGCAAACTTCAAATCAGTACCAGCTGTCCTGCTAGAACATGCTGTACTCCAACAGGAGCTACGGGTTCACTGTAGAAGTTGGTGAGGATCTCTGGCCGGTGGTGTGGAGGAAGGTCAGACCAATGATTTCATTTGACCTTGCAAATTCTGTGACAAAAGTCAGTGGAATATTTTTAAATACAGGGATCTGGGCTTTTTATCCGTTACATGTGTATACGTGTGTGTACGAGAGGGTCTCCGCTCCAAAGCACAAAGCTTTAGAGGTCCTGAACAGAACAGTTTCAGGAATTCTCTAACAAGGGTATTTTTTTTCTAACATGGTTCTTTACCCGAGCCCTGGTTGGTTCCCTTTCCGTGTCACTTCCAAATGGAAAGATATTTTAGAACCAGCTTGGTACAGAAAGTGTACCTTTCCATCGCTGGCATTTGCCAAAACTTAGAGAAAACAGAAACAAAGTGTTCCGAGTGAGCGCTGTGGTGCCAGTTGTGGTGACACTGACGGACACCGAAGGACAGTGGTTTTTGGAAGGGACGGGCAGCGCCGGCTGTGCTGCCGGAGGCGAAGTTCTGCGTCTCGGGAGCAGAGCCGCGTCCCGGCGGAGGGTCCCCGCCAGGTTTGGAGCTCGGCTGCTCTCCCCACGGTACAGCACACGCGAGGATTTTGGCTTTCCAGTCTCCAAAGTCACAAGGCAAAAATGGCAAAAGAAATGCAGCGTTTCAGCTGCTCCGTCACTTCTGCGTGGGTGTCCTGACTCAACAGGGAAAACTGAAGGAGATATTGAAGGAATTGGCTATGGATTTTTCTGAAGGAGGAAACAAATGAGCAGTTCTGTGGTCAGTGCTCGCCAGCAACTGCCTGTCTGAAGGATCCTAAGCCAAATTTGTCAAAATGATAGAGCGAGCTAAGTAACAGCGAGGAGTTTATGCTTTCCCACAAAAAATGAAGAGAGAGGAATCTGCATGGATGCCCAAGGATCAAAACGCCTTTAGTGCAGAAATAAAATTTTACTGTGTCATTTCAGCAGCTCCCGTGATTTGATCACAGCCCCGTGTCCTTGGCAGTAAATGTCACACACGGGCAGGATGGAGCGGGCATGAGGGAGCGCAGTCTGCTGCGGTGTCCCGAGCTATTACAGCCAGGACGGGGCTGCACTTCGATATCCTTTTTATCAATGCAGATTTTTCTGAAGGTGGCCTCTAATTAAGGGTTTGCTGACTGAGAGGATCTAAATCAAAACCCACCAAGGGTGAAGCTTTCATTTGTCATGCTCTGACATTACAAACCGGGAAGTCAATTATCAGGCCCTGACTGGTTCCTTCCCTCAGCCCCAGCTTTTATGCTGTTGCACAGTAAGATGGGTTTTATTAAAAATGAGGAATTATAGCAAGTGCTGGTAGCTTAAAGGCCCTTATCCAGCAAAACCACTTAAGCACGCGCTTCTCTTTTACTGGAGCTTGCACGCCTTCCAAGTCTTATGTATGTTCCTAAGTGTTCTGCTGAATTGAGGCCAGAAAGATGAGTGTTGCCAATGCGGCTACACACCAAATGCAGACACTTCTCTAACACACCTTCAAGGGATTGAATCTCCTTATTCACCCAGCGTTACAGCATTTTCACTTGGGTGGAACTGATGTGGGTTCACCAGGCGTTCAGTGGATGGAGGATTATATTTGCTGCAGAGATATTTGACTTTTATCAGAAAATGCTAAGTCTTATCTTCAAGTTCTCAGTTATCACGGGAACGTGGCCCGCGGGTCAGAACAGCTCTCGCACAGCCACGGTCACTGTGGAAATCCTGCAGCGTCCGACCTCCACCGGAGGAAAGCTGTGCGTGACGGCCAGTCACAGCAGAGCCCACGAACAGCATAAGCACCAAGATAAATATTTATTCACGAAAATAAGCTGCCTCTGTGCTTATTTTGCCAATCTGAGTTAGGTATTTACATAAACTAATTATGTGTGCGTTGCCTGAGAGACAGGTAAATAGTGCATATTTTACTTATTTAATTGTTATTCAGGTGTCTGTCTGGCAGCAGCGACACTTTCCTCCCTCAGTCTCTCTCGCCACCGCCCCTCCAGCGCTGGGGCTGCAGCGCTTTTCTGCTCTCCTGCTCCCACCCTCCCATCGCTTCGGGTCCATCGCTGCCCGTTCCCCGCGGTGCTCGCAGGGCCGCCACGCTGTGCCCCGGCACCCTCTCCCAGCACGGCCCGCAGCGTGCTGGCCTCGCTGCTGCATCCTTCTGCATCTTCCCCTGCGGCAGAGCCAGCACCCGGCCGTCCCTGGGCACTGCATCCCAGAGGCGGCCCCGGCTTGGAGACAGAGGGGCGGCTGCTTTAGCACGTGTCGGAGCGCTCTGCCGAGAGCCATGTGCCCTCAGCCCTCCCCTCGTGCTGGCCGGGGACACACATTCAGCGGGAGAAGTGATGCTCGGGGGAGAGCGAGGTCATGCCCGGCAGCATCCCAGCCGTGCCTCCGCGTGCCACCGCGTGCTCCGTGCGCAGGGGTTCAGCCTTAATTGTCTGACTCCAGCTCTTAATGGATGCTCCTACAATTTCAGTCCTAATTTAGAGGTAATTTTTGTCAATGAATTTATTTTATATCAGTGGTGAATTAAGAACAGATGTTGGCAGGGAAAACCTAGCTGTTAGCCGAAGAGGAGAAATGAGGGCCATGAAGTCCTGTTGGGCTCCTTGTAATCTTTTCTTCAGGGAAGTTCCTCAGAGACAGAACTACTATTAATTGTGCCTAAGAGATGTCAAAGGCTGTAGGATCCCAGTGAGAACGGCTGTATTTTTAGAGACAAGCACCATCCTATGAGTTACTGGCAGGCGAGCAAAGCAGGGGAGGGAAAGGCAGGACCAGAGAGACCTGCAGAAGCAAGCAGAGACCTCAGGGCTCCCAGTGTAGACGTCAGTATGCTCCATCCCCTGATCGCTGAATATGATAAATATGAATCCACCCAATTAAGGAGAGCGCAAAAGGAGAAAGTGCAGCCAGCTGTTTTGGCTTATTTCCATCTCTTCCCTGATGCTGAGTTCCTGCAGTGTCTAAACGAGATGGGGGATGCTTCATCCCACAAAATTGTTTTTTTCCTATTCCTGGCCCAGTGGCTTCCAAATGAAGCCCCAGTTCACAACACTTGACATAAACATCCACCGGTGCAGGAACATTAATGGGAATGTGGCAATGTGGTGCTGTATGTATTCCTGCCAGAATTTACTGTCAATAAATGCCCATTTATTGTGAAAGTGTTAAATCAACTGTCATAAATCGTCCCTAAGGATAGACATTACATCTTCTCTATAGTTACCATTGGCAGGGATTTCCATTAGAAACCCTATTATTTTTCATACCTTTTTTATTCCCACATGAAGTTTGAGATTGAATGGAAATTTGATATGCACTGTCTTAGCAGAAGACAAGTTTTATTTGTGAACAAGTTTGTGCAAAATGTCCAGAACAACTCATTCTGCTGGTTTTATGTGATTCTGCCCACAAACAATAGGGAAGATTTGCAGGCATTATTTTGCCAGACAACTAGAATTTATAAATCAGAATGGATGGGCCACAATGCACAGTGTAGTTTTGCTTGTATCAATAATGATTTCTATGAATAAACATCAATAACGGTTCGCTGCTGATGAAAGGAGGAGATTTGACAGTTGCCAGGTTCCCCGTTTGTTAGGGATGCAGGGCACAGGAGCTTCTCGGTGTCAGCCGGGTGCCCCGACCCTCCCCAAATGGCAGCGCAGAGAGCGAGTTCAGCTTCCGCAGCCCATCTGACGGAGGCTCCTCCGCGGCAGTGCCCGGGGAGAGTGACAATAAACAGCAAACCGCGGTGAGCAGAGAGTCTAGTTCTCCAGGGAAAGGACTGAACTCCCTCAAAAGAAGGATTTTTTTTTGTGGTGAGGGAGGAGCAGCAGATGAAAGGCAGCGGGGCAGGGTTTTTGCATCTAACTGCATGAGGCTGTCTTCTCCAGATCTGCTGCTGGGGACCTGGAAGACAGGGTCACGCTGTCAGCTGCTCTCACTGCTGTTGCTTTTCCTGTTTATGCTTAAGGCCAGACTAGAAACACAGCAATTTTACAAAGGATCACAGCCGAAGGCATCCCTGCCTATGGCCAGGCATGTCTGGATCAGAGAGGACAGGGGAAGGAGGATGATGCGAGACTCCAAAACGTGCCATGAGAGCTCACTGTGTAAACAGCACATCCTCCGTCACATGCGCTGTGATTTACACCTTTGCGTGGCAGCACCGTCACCCCTGAAACACTATAATTACATACCTACCCGGGCTACCCTGCCTGCCGCCTACGCCCGGCTCCGCTCTGGCCGCATTTCCCAGCCCCCGTGATGGCCGTCCCGCGTCACGCACTGCCCCCTGCTTTGCCCATCTCCTTTTCACTGAATTTCAGCCTCGGATCAGGCTGTTCCTGGTACACAGCATCTGCCGTTCCCTCAGCTCTCAGCCCTTCCGAGTGATGACAATCACCCTTTTAGCCTCTTACTGCACCTCAGGAGCACGCTGACGTGCACAGGACATTCAGCCAGGCTGGACACGAGCTCAGCGCCCCGGGGCTGGCGCATCACCGCCGTCCTGGGGGGTCAGTCGCAGATGCACCCGAGTTAAGTGGGTCATCAACAATGCAGAGACTTTCTGGTGCGGGTGTTTGGACCTCACAAATCCTACCAGCATTATGCTCCCACCTGAACAATCCCAATTCTTTTATGAGGAGGAGACACTGGATATGGAGGAAGGCCAGCCCCAATACCAGACTCGGTGTGGGCAGCCCTGTTCTCATCACTACAACTTTGTTTGAATGCTGTCTCCAACACTTTTCCTGCTAGGTGGGAAATAAGTTTGAACTTTCCCATTGCAAAGTGCCAATCAGTTGTTCCTTTCCCCACACAATCTGAAGATGCTTTGCTGCTGAGGAAGGGCCCCATCTGGTTGCAGTTTCACTTTTTAATGCTTTACATAAACAGTGCTATAAAAAGCAATGACATGCAGATAAAGAAAATAATGGCTTCATATGGGGTTTGGGCAGTGGCTATGAATCACCCCGAGGCGTGCGCCCAACCACGCCTGTTCGAAAGCGGAGTTCAAACTTAACACTACAGTAAAACTTGCAAGAAGAGTGGATTTGATCCTTTCCTGTTGCAGTTATGTTAATCTGCCTTTTCAATAGTTAGCCAAGAAATACTTTAATGCAGGTTGACCATGAATTCTGTGTTACTTAATGAGGTTGTTCCCCAGACCTTCTTCTGACCACAGCTTTGGGAATGGCTGAAAGCCTCCCAAGAGCCCTATAACTTCGTGCAGGACATTGGAAGGGTCGTGCTTTAGACTAAATGATGGTCCGGCTTCTGTTCCTGGTATCTTATTTGCCGCTTTGGAGTGATTTACTTCTTTAGAGCCCTACACTACAGATACTCTGCCCTGAGAGCCACAGACTCCGCTCGCAGCAGTGGGTGCGGGACCGCAGGAGGCCGTGTCCCGGAGCACGCTGCCGAGGACCGCAGCCTGCGCTCTGCCTCTCTTCCTGTCTATGTCACACACACCACTCGGAGCAGCAAAGCACCAGCCGCTTCCGCTGGGATGCTGAGGGTCACTTGTCTAACGTAGCGAGGCTGTTGCATAAGAGACTACAGAATCGGTGTTTTGAGCTGTGTGGAGTTTTCTGGAAGCAGACCCGCAAAGGCGGGCTTGCACAGCCTGTGGCGTATTCCCCTGAGAGACACGGCGTCCTGCTCCCCCAAGGGCTGTCCTTGCGTGCCCTTGCCGCACTGCCCGCTTCTCCAGGGTGAGCCATCGAAGGACTACAGCGCTCTTCGCAAACTGATTAAGCATCACTTTGTCCCTATAAGGGACATAATCATTATCATCTGCATTTTACAGATGGAGGAAACATTGCACAGAAGCAACTTGTCCAATGTCATTTAGGGCAGACGAGCCAAATCCGGAAACGCAACCCAGATCCCCGAGCCCCAGCTCCGCAGTCTCACCGCCAGACAATGCGCCGTTATCTGTTCACAGCAAAGCTCATTTACTGAAGTGACTCACCCAGCAAATACATTCTTCTCACATGAACTGTAAGAGCATCACAGCTGCTACGTACGTGGGATTATTTTTGTCTCTTTTCTGCTTAGGCAATGTTTTCAAAATGTAGCTGGGAACCTGAGAGGTGGTCCAAGGGCTGCACCACTTGAGCAGGATATTCAGGAGCAGAGAGCTGTGTTACAGCTCCAGGACGGCTTATACTGCTGCCTGTGCTGCAGAGATCATCAGTTAATTTTGTCCTGATCTTTTCTTCCAGAGACCTTTTCTGGGAATCAGAGATTCATGAAAACACCAGCTTTCCTCACCTCCCTAACTGGGCTTCTGGGATCACAGGATGGGCTGGAGGCAAAATATCTAATTAGGAAACTGAGCAACCGCTGGCTCGAGTCGAGGTTTGAGACTAGGCGACTTTTTGGCGGCTGTGAGAGTAAAGCTGCCACGACCGTTTCACTGCTGTTTAATGGGCTTCTAGAAGTGGCCGTGGAAGGAAAACCACAGCTGCTGTGTTGGAGGGAGAGCTCTGTGTCCCAGGAGATTTTAGAAAATAAGCTTCATTTATAAAAAATAAAATAAAATATGTGAAACTGTCCCCTGTACACCTGCTCTTGCAGTCTGGATACATCATCTGGATTCAGCTGGGCTGTGTCTGGCACACGTCTGGGGTCCCTGAGCCACCTCGGTGCTGTGCCCCGGCCCGTGTTAGTCAGGGGCAGAGCAGCAGTGTCCACGGGGGACTAGGGCAGGCACACACCGCTCCTGCCCGTGCGGCCGTGCTGCCACCACGGCAGAGCCCACGTGCAGCCGGCCCTCGGAGAAGCCCCTTCCCTCCCCTGCGCGCGCCCAGCCTGCATCCCACCACGGACTGCAGCCAAAGCCACGGAGCCCATTTCTGTACTGTGAAAATGTCCATTTTCAGAAGCTCCAAACGAGTATTTGGAAGAGTCAGACAAAGAGATACTCCTCTGACAAACCGCGCAACACGGGCAGAGCGCAGGCGGGGGTAGGAGCTCTCTGCTCCTGCAGTGGAGACCCATCCCAGCCCAGGCAGAAAGCCCCGGGGACAGCCCTCGGCTGCCCATGCCACACGTGGGCCTCACTCACGTGGTCGATGAGCTCCTTGATCATGCCGTTCCACTGCCCCTTCTCATCCTGCGCCCCGTACTTGCCATCCTCCACCAGCCGGATCTCGTAGGTGAAGCCCAGGATGATGGCCAGCTCCTTCAGGAGGTCGATGCAGTAACCCTCAAAGCGGTCGTTCCCGAACAGGGCCGTGTCGGACTTACGGAACATGACAAAGGGCTCTTCCTGCACACGGGAAGGCAAAAGGTCCCCGTTATGGGTGAGTGGTGGTCCCAGCTCCCGCCGGAGGCAGGGCCGCCTCTGCGGGTCAACCTGAGCCACGTGGCACAGGCTCTTCAGGCAGGGCTGGCACCGTGACATGTTGGGAATAAATTAACTTTGCACAGCACATCAGCTAATTAGCAACCTTGTTTACCCCACAAAATTTAATTTTGTCTCTTCTGAGCAGCCAACTGTTTTCCATTTGGTAGGATTTCAGGGAGGAAAATAACCATTTCATGCTCTGAAAATGAAGAGTGTTGAGAAACAATGAAAGGGGAGAGGGCAAATCCCACCCCAGGTGCTGCACAGCGGAGACGCAGCCGACCTGCTCCACAGGACCCGTCCTTCTCCGCGGCGAGCAGGAGGCTGGGGGGTTAAATACGGAGGGATGGAGCCGTGCACGGCTGGTGGCCAGCCCAAAACGTTCCCCGGTTTAGCCTGCTATTCTCTCGGCCAGCGCTAGCTGATGGGGTACGGGGCCCTACTGCTGCCCAGAGAGCTCCTGCCGTCTGCTCCCGTCCCGCCTGCCCTGGGAAGGCTGGGGGTGTCTAATCACAGCAGTGCCAAGCACCAGCGCAAATCCCAAATAACTAATAAAGTGCTTTGCAGCCGCCTTTGCCCTGTGGCTCCCTGACTCTGCAGCGGGGCTGGCGGGTGAAGTTAGCACACAGCAAACGGCGCGGCCCTTGGGGGACTATGAGGCTCGGGCAGTCACCGGGGACGAGGGACACTGGGGAGCCCCAGGGAGAAAGCGTGTAGAGGACAGATGGCAATGGCACAAGGTGGTGGGCGGCAGGCAAAAGCTGAAGGCAAAGGGGAGGACGGGACGGCAACCGCAGTTGATTCGTGGCTTGAATTGAAGGTATCTGCACGGCTACCGGCCCTGCCCGCGGGGTGGCCGGCAGGGGAGGGCTCATGCTTTGCTCTGGTGAGCGAGCCGTGTCTGCTGGCGTCCCCCCCGTGCTGAAAAAAGGCGGCTCGCGTCTCCCAGTGCGACCGGTCAGCCCCCACCTCCGCCACGGGAGACCTCTGCCACCCCCGGGGTGGGCAGGAGGTACCTCTGCCTCGAAGCAAGGGAGGGAGAGGAGGAGAGAGCACGTGAAGCTCTATGCGCAGAATTCTACAGCAAAACTGATAACATCACGCCTATAGAGTCACGCGCAGCGCAGTTTAATCCCGCTCTCCCTGTGGCCTCCTCCTCCACTTTCTTCTCTGGAATTAGTGCTTTGTTTGTGAATCAGCTGAATCTATGGATCCTGATATAAATACACCGGCTCCAGAGCAGCCGTAAAGCACTATTAATTTTGGGCAGCGCTGTAGGGATTACATACATATTTAACAGCCGAAGCACTGAACATTGGGACGCCACTCGCTTCAGTAATGTATCTCCAGGTCTCAAACATTTCCTAGGGGGTAATTCTGAACTCTGTGAACCACTTATTCACGGACTATTTCACAATTTATTACTGAAAATGGCCAGACATCCAATTCACAAGCTCTCTCGGTTTGCTAATCGATTTCTCAGTGAAGGTGCCCTCAATTTCATAACTTCACAGTTCCCATATTGCTTGGGGAGAGTGGCGCTGGCTGCTGGGGTAATATTTCTCTTCCAACGAGTCACTGCAATATGAGCAAAAAGGGAAAAAATAACCTTTTATGCTTTTCCTTTTAAAGGTTCCTCCTATGGCTTTTCTACAATCATTTACACCAGTGCAAAAGCACAAAGCGGTGTTGCAAATGCAAATAAAATTCAGGGTTGTATTTTTTTTATTAGAATCCAGTATATGAAAATGCAATTATTGCAGAAGTCGGGTCTAAGCACATTTCGCCCTCCTGCAGGCAGGGGAATTTTGGGACAGCTGTGGTTTCGAGGTAGACACCCCGTGGCACGCGTGCAGGCCCAAGGAATGGCACAATTAATAGGAACTGATACCGCCCTTGTAGATTATGTCATTTGTACGTGCTCACGGAGTTTGAGATGAAAATGCTGCCCCAAAAAAGCATGTCAAAGGCAGATGGCTGACAGGTCTCCTCCTGGCTCCATCATCTTGCATTATGCCACGGCCTTTGAGGTACAGTGATTATCGCACCCCAGACCCAGACGTTTCCACAGCTCTGGCCGTGCCGCTGACCCCTGACAAGACGCATCTTTTCTGGTTTCCCTCAGTCCTGTCCATACAGCTCTCACTGATATGCCACTCCTGAGCTCCTCTGCTGCCCCTCGGCCTCGCCGCGCGGTCGGCTGCTCCTCCAGCTCCCAGCGCAGACAGCTCTGCTGCCGACCCTCCGCCTTCCCCCGCCGCCACCAGCCCTCCTCCCAGCCCGGGAGTTCTCCCCGATGTGCCGCACAGTTCTCATTAAAGGCAGTGGGGTGGTGGTGGTGGGGAAGAGGAGTCACTGTGTAACTTCTGCTGAGTTTCATCCAGCCACAGTACGGAATGAACAGTCCCCTTAGAGCTGATCCTGAGCCTCCACCTGGGAGTGACTTGATGTGATGTGTTATTCATGTTGCCCTAAAAATTTGCATCTCTCACCTACAGGCACGGGCAGCCCTCTCGGTTACCTTGCGCAAGTGAACTAAACCGGCATGGCAGCGCTCTCCGGTTGGCCTGTTAGAGAAACACTGCTTAAATTTCTGCTTCCTGAACCCACCAAGAATGCTTCAATGCAAAAGAAACAAGCAAACAATCAAACCGTGCGTGTATCGTGCCCGAGTGCCCACACACTGCTGCAAGGGGCTCAACGGGAGCACTCTTACAATCTGATGCACGTTGAATTGTTAAAGTGCCTTTTGCTCCGTCATTTCTCTACTGTTGTGCAGTAACTCCTGATGTGACGATTCATTTCGATAACCGTAGCTGGGGGGAACCGTTGCTGCCACCGACTCCGCTAGTGCGCACGGCACAGGAACGCTGCCCCGCGCAGACTGCCCTGTGAGCGCGACCCATCGCTGTCCCACGGGACTGGCGCGGTAGAAAACTTTTGGACTGGGAAGGGAAGGAACTTCTCCAGTCTCCCTTGCGTGCTGGGACACGAAAGTGGTGTGTTACTGAGCGCAGTCAAAGAGCTGAGCCTGTACCTGACTCAGAGAGAGGGACTTTAAGTGTTTCATTGGAACAAATATTGATGATGAATGGGAAGTTTGTTAGAAGGGGTGGCTAATTTGCAAGGAAAGCTGCAGCAGCATCTGTATTTGGCTCGTATTCTGCCTGCTTCCATCCTGCTAACCTCCTGTGGAGTGACACAAGACCTTTGGTTCCAGCCCTTCTTCTGCCCTGGACCGTGGGTTTCCTACCTCTGTTCTCCTCTGAGCATTTTCTTGGTCCCGTTCCTTCTATAATACAAAACCCCACTCCGTCAGGTCACGTCCTTTTGGGAAGGAAAGGACCTCACGAGGGATCACACTGCTCCGGACTGGGGAGTGCATCCCCAGCTGGCTCCTTACCATATATACCTTTATGGTCCCTGAAAATATGGAACATAAAGGGGCCAAAAACATTTCCATTGGCAAAACCCTAATTCAGACCCAATTGTGGTTAGGCTGTCCAACGGCTGATGTTTTATGTTGCTTCCTGGTGACATGCCATGAGCCTGCGCCGTGTAATACAGCCATATAGAAACCAATGCCACTAGTCATAATTCATTAGATAGCAAATAAAAATTCATTCTGATCTGATGCCTGCCGTCAAATCCAATAGCAAATGTGAGAACAAAATGCAGCGTGACAGTTGGAAGCGGAGGAGACCTGTTAAGCAACCGTGGTTTGCTGGATAACGGCATTACTCTGAGCTAGTTTATCAAATATGTACTTAAGAGCGGGGAAGAAACTCGATTGTCACAGCTAAGCCAGGGTGTCTGGTTGTTCTTAGCGTTTTCTCCTGTAACAAGAACGCTCCCATCTGAGGCAGCAGTGCCATCTGACAGCGGCGCACAGCCGCTGGTGATAAACGGACAACCTGGAGCTTTCCTGGGGCTCAGCACCCGCAAACCTCCCGCGCCCACCGCATGCAGGGAGCGAGGGGGGACCGGGGACCGGGCCGGGCAGCTGAAGCGGAGGAGCTCAGCAGGGACATGCAGCAGCCTCCTGGGCACGGGGAGCGCGCGTGGTTCCAGCTGGCCCGTGCCAGCCTCCCTCTCTGCCACGAGGTGCCTGGCAGCCTGCTCGGGAGCGGTGGCATCGGAGGATGCCGCAGGTCAGCTCGGTGCGGGTGCATGGGCACCGCGGTGCCCCGCTGAGCCCAGCCCGCACGCAGGGGCTCTCTGTGCCCTGCTCGGCTTTCCAGAGGACCAGCGAGTCTGTACTGGGATGCTGATAATTCCCAGAGATACCAGACATGCCTGAGATTTGTGGGTGGAGGAAAAAGAGAGGCTTGCAGTCTCCTACCAGGACAGTGGTGACAATCAGAGATCTGTTGCTCAGCGAGTCTGTGACATTAGGCCCTCGTCCTTTGGAAATTTCTGTGATGTTCAAACCATCAGAAGGGCTCCACGCTCCAACCTGAAAGAAAGCAGGCAAGCGAACGCATGAGCACCTGGCTTACATCCCTGGCTGGCTCTCAGCATCCCACTTGTCTGGAAAATGGAGCTCGCTGCTTTCATCTACAGTAAACAGCCGCTGAAATTATTATCTTGTATCACCGAAATAGAAAATTTACATTAACCCTTCGGTTGCGGGTCACTCCAGCTGCACACGTATAATAAACAACCCTTCTGCTGCCCTCTGACGCAGGTCCATGAAAGGAGATGACGATGACTGGAATTTAGGGGCCGAATGAATAATTTGCAAAGGTATGGCACAGAGCAAACAATCAAACCATGCTGAAGAGTCAACACTGGGCAAAGAGAAAGCAGGACAAAAGAAAGCAAATACAAATATGAGGCCATTTCCTTTCTTTTTAATTTTCCCACCAATTTGCTTTGGTGGGGAAAGTTAAAAATGACTTGACGACCTCTGCCGAGCCCCGGCAGGGACCATTCCTGTCCTCTGCGCTGTGGCAGACGGGACGCACATTGCGAACAGGTCCCCCTGGAAGGGCCCCGGTCACCCCGTCGGGGCAGTCCAGCGCAGTGGGAGGTCTCGGTCCTGGCAGCAAACCCGGGGGAGGGAACGGCGGCAGACCTGCGCGGGCACGGGCACGGGCAACGCACCCACGTCCCTCCTCCGTTTGAGGTGCTCTGTTTTCCTCAAGCTGTCAACTTCGATGAATTATTGGACTTTGAAGAAGTCCATTGACCCAGAAATAGCAAAGTATGTCTCTAAGAGAAGTCATCTGGGCAACTCTAAGCCTGTTAACCTGATCTCCGCGGTGCAGGGGAGGCTTTAGAACAAACTTTGAAGGCAGGACTGGCTAAAGGACTGTGACGGTGAGATAAAACGCCAGGAAAGCTGGAGAAATATGGAACTGCTGCCAAGAGACGGAGCAGGGTGGCCACACAGCAGCCTGACAGTGAGACAAAAAGAAAACCCCACATGGAAATGGGAACAGAACGATCCATCTGTAGGGTCAAACTGTGAGACAGGGCTCAGAGAGAAACCAAAGGCAGATAGCTCAGACCCACTGGGGAGCCAGGAACTTCTCCGATTTTATTTATTGCTATTTTTAACATTCTTCAACCTCTTCAGCAGTCCAAGGGGAGGGCTTGGTTTTACTGCATCCCCAAAAAGAGACTTTGTAATGAGCAATGCTGCCTGGCAAAAAAAAAAATAATCATAAATTCTGGAAGAGTTTCCATGAACTTTGTGAAAGGCTCTAAATATTTCAGGTAAAACCTAAGCAATCCCCCGTATCTCCCTTCGATCACGCAACAGCTGCAATGTCAAAAGATTATTATTGTGCTTAGGAAAAGAGAAGCAAGTCTTGGAGGCCCCCGCTAGCAGCGCTGCAGACTCAGTTAACTATGCCTTGCTAAGTTTTCTGTAAGAAAATTAAATACATGGCACTTAAGACTGAATTAATCAGTTTAAAATATTAAAAAAGGACAGAAAAAAAAAAGTGCATTAAGAGAACTGTGCAAGTCAGATAGTCAAACTACATGTAATTAGGTTTAGTTAATACTCCTGTAATCCCTGGAACATCCAGGAGGTATAAGGATCAGGAGTTCAATCCTAAAGCTCAACAAACATAAGCTATTATACATAATGCACAATCCGTATGGGATTTGTTTGTAGTTTGGCGTTTTGTTATTTCAGATTAACTATTGACAGAAACCTAGCTTCAACACAGATTTGACATCGATACTTTAAAACCCCTCTAGAGTTGACAAGAAGCTTTCAAAAAAATAATAATGGGAACTGTGAAATCTCTGAATTGTTGGAGACAAAAGTTGAACGGCTGTACGGAGTATGCATCAAGGGTTGGCGGCTTCCTATGGGCTTTATGTGACACACAATAGCAATAAATACAGCCGGTGCCAGCTATTCTCCAGTGCACCTGAGGAGTATTAGTTTGACAGATAGATATTGCAGTTGCACTTAAACATTTAGATTCTCATGGTATCCAAATACTCGCACATTTTTTTATTATTCTACCAACACAGCTCTCCAGCAGGCCGCCGGTGCCGCAGTACTCCAAAGAGACGCGTTGATTTTTTTGGTTTAGACTCTGTAAACAAAATATTTTGTAAAAAAAAGTCGTCAGGCTACAAAGATCATCTCCTGCTCAGCGTCTTCCCCCGCTCCCCTCCCGCCTCCTTCCTGCCCAGGCCCCGCTGACCGCAGCCGAGACTGAAGGTCACTGGGTTTATTTGAAATGTTTTCTTTATTCTGTATTTGACACCAAAAAATACCCACTAGGAGAGTGCTGTGGTGACCTTGAGATTTTTTACATGCGGCAAAGAACTACTGCTGTGGTGTGAAAGCGTGGCACCAATTTATGTCAAAGCGAAGGAAAAACAAACTGTAAGGAGGGGGCTGGGGAAGCCGGGCTCTTTGGTCCCGGGAGCTTCACCGCGCAGGAGACGTCCCCTCCACACCGGGGTTGGTCACACTGCCGCCTCCAGCCCCGGGGCTGCCTACCGGCACCGTGGGATTAATTCCCCAGCCTTAACTGGAAAAGTCATCTGTGCATGTTGGGCCGCTTGCTGCACGGCTAATTGAAAACTCCCTCCCCCTGCTCCCGGCTGGCGTTTCCCGCAGCAGCGGAACCTGTCGCCGTGCCCACGGGGTACGGGACGCAGCACTCGTCCCCGGCTGCCAGCGGGCACCCGGTGCGCGTCGAGGAGCAGATTCTGCTGCAGAAAGAGATTTGCTGCCCGGCCGCCAGCCTTCTCCTGTAACTCTGCAAGACACCTTTAGCAGAACGGGGACTCGGCATCACTCGCAAAAGGGGTCAGTGGCTTCGCCTGACGTTATTTGGAGCCTGATTAGAGCACAGCCCCCGGCACTGCTCCCTGTTGGTGTCAGCTCTCCGCTGCGCACTGCTTTCTCCACTTCAGGCCACTGCTGCTCTCTTTTGTCTTAAACGAACTGATCTCACCTTGAAACCCGTGTTCTAGGAGCTTTAATGCTTTGCATATTGCTTTTTTTTTAAAAAAAAAAAAGTAATTGAAGAAAAGGAAATGAAATCCCCATGAACACCTGAGAATCAGATTTCCACATCAGCATTGTATTTCTGTGCCCAGAAGAGATTTGCACTAATGAGGAGGAGCTGAGGCTGCAGCCTTTGTGCCACGTCGCCTCTGGGTGGCCGGGCAAACACGAGACCCCTCCAGCCAGGCGAAACCACACTTGGCTTTTTGTCTTATTGTCTCTTAGGTAACACAGAGAAGAACCAAATAAAAATACCCACTGCATCCTCCTCCAAAGCCTGGGCTGTAATAAGCCCGTGCCATTCCCCAGCATTAGGCAACGTTCACTGTGGGAAACCACACTGAGATGATGCTTTCAAGAGCTTTTGCCTCCTCGGGGAAAAATCAGCGTTCTGTAAGTGAGCCCAGCAAGATGGGGGGTGGGACAGGCTTTACTCCTTCCACCTTTGGTGCGGGCAAGGGGAGGTTAATGGCTGCTCAGAAAGATTCTTCTGCTTCCACTATCCCAGGAAAGTGCTACAGGCATTTCTACAGCTAAGGACTGTAATCCCACGCACGTCACTTCGGGGCTAGTGAGTCATGGTCGAGGCATGGAAAAGGATCTGAGAAATCCCACGAAGTAAATATTCTTTTATATAAAACCCAGAAAGCATGGAAACAATACGGCCACCAACCATTTTCTGCGGTGCCTGAGTAGCAGAGTTAGACTAAGCCATACGCAGATAAGACAAACCCTGCCTACCTTTTCGAGACCATCTTCTTTGAGGCTGATGATATCCAAGTCAAAATCTGTCCGTAAACCGCTAGTTTTATTAAAGACGATTCGTCCCGTTAGTCCTTCCCATTGAGCCTGTGGAAGGGAGAAGAAGTAGCAGGGCTGTTACTTGGTACCATAAAGAATCTTTTGCCCTCCACTGTATGTTCTTTTAATTAGTCCCTATACTGGTTCTTTCTCCCCAAAGAGCATGATTAATTAATAATCACCTCCGTCACTGTTCAGACTGCAGACAGAGCTGTAGATTTTCTTAACTCTCTTGCAGTCCTTGCTACAATTTTTGTTCGCACCTTTTGTGTTCACCAGCTGTTGCAGGACATGATGACTCAGTAGAAAACCGCTTGCATTTATCATGGCATCCTTGTGTGCCGCGTTTATCCTTGTAGGACTGATAAACACCGGGCTGCAGGGAGCCTGGGTTTGGGACAACTCCAGTCGAGCTCATAAATAATCCTTTTTTGCATGAACCTGCTGATGCTTCCATGGTGTGTGGAAGCTGAAATGTCCTGAACACTTCCCTCCTTCCTCTCAGATGGAAAGTGGAGCCAGAAAGGCCAAGGGCTAGTCCGTGCTAGGAGGCTCTGTCCTTCTGGAACAGGCGTGGGAACCTGGTGGGTGCATACTGCACTGGTACCCTTCGTTCAGTTTTTGGGAGTATAAGCACAGGGCAGGTGCCCAAAGGGGCCGGGGAACCCCCGTGCCTGGCAATTTCCAATTCCTGACTGGACGAGGTCCCACACAACCTGGTCTGACTCGGGACCTCGTCCCGCTCTGAGCAGGAGCTTGGGGTAAAGGCGTCCAGATTCATTTTGAAACAAAATTATGCTATGATGCTCTTTCTTTTCCACTGTACACTTTGCAGCACCACCAGAGTTAATCATCTCTCTGATTCAGGAGGCGAGGGAGCCCCAAATATCAGCTGCTGGCTGTGTTAGCAGAGCAGGTGCTATGGGACAGCCTGGTTGGTGTACGATGCTCTGCCCGGGGACGGTGCTCAGACGTGCTATCAGCATCTCTCCCAAGGAGGATGCTCCCGTAGGAGCACCGGGCTGCTGGCAGGGTTTGCGGTCGCATCTCAGCAGCGGCAAGCTGGGCCTGGGCTCCGTCCCCGGCGCAGGGTGACCGCACGCGCTCCTCACTCATCAACGCGCTTCCTTCACAGGCCGGGGGGGGCTTGGCGTGCCCAGTGTGGTGAAGGTGGTACTCTCAGGGGGGAATGACCAGCATGTTTCCCAGTAAATACGCTCCTCTAGCTCGTCCTTATTAATTCCCGAGGAACAGCCTCCTCCCGGCCTCGCCACCCGTGAGTTTTGGGGAAGGCTGTGCTGTTTGCTGAGTTTGGCGCGCAGGTGGTTTGCCTGTGGGACGCGCAGCCCGCGGAGGCCCCGGGAGCTGGGAAAAACACGGATTGTTTAACGTACCCGACGGCAGCAAACACAGCTGTGTGCTGAGCGCTGCACCTCCTGCGGGGCGGGAGCGGTGGCTGCAGAGGAGCGTGTCCCCTCGTCTCCTGCCCCCGTGCCTAGCCCTGTCCCCACGCTTTCTGGGGAGCCCTGATGGCACATGGGGTGAGGGTGGCTCCCCGGGGCTGGCAGAGCCATCATCCCGGCCCCTTTCACAGAATCCCAGCATCCCAGACTGGTGAGGGTCGGAAGGGCCCTCTGGAGCTCCCCCAGTCCACCCCCTGCCAGAGCAGGGGCACCTCCAGCAGTGGCACAGGACGGCGTCCAGGCGGGTTTGGGATGGCTCCAGAGGGGGAGACTCCCCCACCTCTCTGGGCAAAGATAACCCCTTCTGCTTTATACCACTTGATCAGCACTGGTGGCACGCAGTGCCTGTCTGAGAAGGGAGATCTCTTTCCAAAGGTCCTGTTAGGGACTTTCACAGCAGGTACGAATTGGAGAACAGGGTACAAATACCCTCTTCTGGAGGTGGGATGAGGTACTTGTGGATCAGCTTTTTCATCTTTGCCTCCATCATCTCCCTGCAGCGTTGTTGTGTGCTGCACAGCATGGCAAAAATTGAGGTAAATACACAGAAATAGTCCGTCCTTCAAAGAAGCAGTGATGGGTTTGGTGTACACCTGTAGTTTATAGCTCATGGTTTGGTTCTAGGCTGCAGGAAGATCTTCCAGGAGCAGACAAAGATGTGAAGAATGAAGCCCAAGTGGGTTGGCTTGGAACAAGCAGTCTTGTAGCAGGATCCCATGTCACTCTGAGCCGGGAGGTTGGACTGACCCTGGTGAGCCAAAAGCAAGGCAGTGGTGTCCATGCAGCAGCATCAGCTCTGAGCGCAGGGGCTGCCGTGGGCTGTTTGCGCACAAAGGGGGAGCGGTGCCGCTGGCCGCGGGGAGCCCAGGGCGAGGGAGCGGGCGTCTGCGGCGAGGCATCCCTCTGAGCGCCGCTTTGTCTTTACGGGAGTGTAGAGAGAGCAATTACTGTGTGTTCTGATTGCAGTGGGGAGGAAGCTTATCCCTGCAACGAGCTGACACCGTGCCAGAAAGGGAAACAACAGGCGGGCACTGGAGTGTGAGGCTCAGGGTAATTTGCAAAAGGAGCCAACCAAACAAATTATTTACACTCTCTTTTGGCAGCCAGCTGGAGCGGCTTTCTGCAGAAGTGAACAAAACATGAAAAAGGAGAGAGAGAGAGAGGCAGGGAGGAGAGATAGCATCTTCAGTGCCTATTAAGAAAAAAGTTCATTCTCTGTGTGCAATGGGAATGATTCTTCCTTTCTCCTCCCTTCGGGCTCACGCCCCGTGCAGCTCGGGCAGCCCCCGCGGTACGTGCGCTCTCGCTGCACTGACGTGCCCGTGTTCGGGGTGCGCTGGGGGCTGTAGGCGATACTGCCGCACAAATCATAGGAACTATTAACAACGTACTTCTACTCTTTTCTGTTTAAAAACTTCAGGGGGTTTTATACCCAGCCTTTCACATGGGGCCTGGTCACGTATCCCACACTGCAGCCGCTTTCGCAACTTCCCATGTGAAATGCCAGAGGCACGGAAGTTTTAAAAGGCCTTAGGGCAAAGAAGGGGGGTTTATCTCAAAGCCATATCTGGCATGGTCTGCAGTATCTCCCCGCAGCTCTGCCTTCATTTTTTTCTTCTCTGAGGGCTTGTTTTTGCAGACAGAGCAGAACCCGGGGTGTGAGTGCGGGGGTGTGCGCGGGGGCTGTCTGGGGAGGACGGGCTGCCCCGCACAGCGCCTTCCCTCCGCTGCCGTCTCTGGGAGAGCTCACTGCTCATCATCACCCGTGCTTTGCGTCTGCTTGCGTGCTTAAGCCAGATGCAAACAAACAATTACGTGGACCTAACACAGAGAAATCATAATGACCGAAAACAGAGCGGGAACGAAGCTGCCTCCTCGCTCCCCCGGCTCCCTACTTGCCAACGCCACCGCGCTGCCAAAGCCGTTCGTCGGCACACAGGCAGTGGCGCACAGCGCTGCCAGCGCTGCCACTGGGATTTAGCGGCACTGAATGCCCTTTGTGGACCCCAAGCAAATGTTCCCGTAAAAGGCAAATGGCTATTGCTCTGCTAAGAAACGGCCTCAGAGAGCGAGCGGTCCAGCTGCCGTTGACGCAAGAAGAGGCCAGGGCAAGTCTCAGTGACAGCACGGGAGATTTCAGCTCGTTTCGGATGTTTTGCCGTGGCAGCACGGATGTTATTTTGAAGGCAAAGACACGACTCTTCCTTTCTGGGTGCACTCGGCAGCCTGGCGCTGTGCATGCAGTTGTACCTGCCCCGGCGGGGGGATGTTTTACAACCCCGTACCTGCCAAACCTCTGCCATGTGCCGCCATAGCTGTGTGCTGAGGAGCCGCGGTGCTCCTGCTGGGGAAGTTCTGTGTGAGTGGGAAGCAATTATAGCTGCAAACCATGCTTTTACCTCTTTTATAAAGTTCATGAAGCGGCCACCGAACCTCCAGGCTTTGTGCCGATGGCACTGCAGGGAGTTCACAGTCATCTGAGGGGCGCGCTGGTAGCAGACGGAGACCACGTGCACCGCGTCGTACAACAGGGCAGCGTCTGTCTAAAGTAAAGGGGAACAGCATTTGTGTTGATAGCGGTTCCAGAGCAGGGAGGCGTTGGCACAGCAAAGCAGCGCGGCATCCGCAAAGTGTCGCAGGAGAAGCTGCAAGAACCCCTCTGGGTTACCCCTGCCCGACACCCGGCAGACCAGAGGGTTTCTCTGTCCCGGTCCACTGCCGACCATCCGCCTCCCGGGAGGCCAACCCTGCAAACTGCGCCGAGGGCAGGGCTGGGCTCTCGAGGGATCACCGGGACCTCAAGAGATGGCCGTAAATGCGTACGCTTTAACACAAGGCTTGTATAAACCTCCAGGCTGACCTCTCATGCAAAACACGTCCTCAAAACACGTAGCTCTGCACGTGACAAAGCCTCACAAGCGCGTTTTTCTGTTACGTGGCTCTTTAGACTGGAAGATCATAGTTCTGTCTTAAAATCAGAGATTGTGGAAGTGTCATTTGTCTGTGTGCATCTGTTCTGGTTATTTCTAGCGCATTTACTACTGTATTGTCAAACAAGGACGCTAGCTGTTTCTAAACGTGGAAGATAGTAACAAAATTTTCGTATTTAGTCTGTTTTGTCTGAGTGTGAAAAAAAACCTATATGAGAACATACAATCCACGCTATTTTATACATGGGGAAATGGGAAACAGCGAAGTTAAATGGCTTGTCCCTGGGCACGGAATTTTCCAAAATGACCCAAACTGTCCCTGAAACCAGGACCTCACAGATTTGTAACGTCTTCCCGCATTTCAGTGATTTGAACTAGGGAGAACTTTTTTTTTTTTTTCTTCCATATAATGTGGTGGGTTTAGATTCAATTTGAGATGCCCCATCTCATCTCCAAACACTGATCAAGAGAATTGGATTTATTTTTCACTCCAATATGGCAAGTCCTCCCAGTGCAAATACATTATCTGCTGGCTTCACAAAGCTACAAAACAGATGTGAGTGTAGCAGCAGTGTAATAAAACACAATAATACAGCAGATAACTGGACAAATACGTAACAGGACGTGGCCATGGAGAAAATCCTCCGACGTTGCCAGCCATGCCTATGACCTTCTCTTCCCGCAGCACCCGAGCACGACGAGCGGGCACCCGACCTGCGTCCCGTGGGCTCGTTTCCACAGCAGCAGGGATGGGCTGTGTAAGTTCGGGACTGGGGGAGAGGGGGTACAGGAATACGTCCAAGCAATTTCATGGTGAATTACATACTGTAACGCCCAGCTGAGATCAGGGCCCGGCTGGGCAGACACCAGGCAAACACAAATAAAAGGTGGGATCCCCTCTGGAGAAGCAAACAGGGAAGAGGAGAGGAGCCGGCGGCGGGGGGAACATCGCGCCACTGCAGGCAATGCCATCGCGGGCAATGCTGCGGAAAAGCAGAAGGCTGAAGGAGGATGGTGGAGCTCTGCTCTAGGGGGAAAAAAAAAAGGAGGGATTCAAGGAGTCATTTCAAGGTGAAAGTCTGGGAGGCTTTGCTGCTTGTGGGGGGGTTCTGGCAGATCTAAAGGGAGAGGAAAGGAGGGAGCCAGTCAGCAATTACGGGGGTCGGAGACAGCCTCGCCGGGCAGACAGATGGGCGAGCAGGTGCCGTACCTTCCGAGCAGTAACTCAGCGGAGCAGAGCTGCCATCAGACCCTAAAAGGAGTCATCAAAGCTGCAGCAAAGCCCATCTCTGGGCACAGCTTTGGCTCTTTTTCCCTGCATCAATCTCAGCGAATTGCCTGGCCCAGTCCCGCCGTGTGCGGTGCCCGCAGCCCCGGGAGCGGGGCGCC